CTACAGTAAGAATAGTAATTGATTGCTACATTAAAGTACTTGTCTTAAAAGTCTTTCTCACCATGTCTCCATTTTCTGGCAAGCTGCAATGTACTTACATTTCCTCTGCTCCTCACTGCATCAAGAGCATCTGCAACTAAAGACTCATTCATACGAATATAGACAATTTGAGACACCAAAATGCTTGTCACACAAAAAATAATGTCCTCAGAATGTACATACATTAACAATTTGCATTCTTACATGTACTAGATGGTGTCTGTCAAATCAGGCTTCCTGTCACAAACACATCTAGTCCACAACAGACTGCCATGGCAAAGACACTGTGAAGCACAACAGCTTCCCTGACTCGTCGTTCTTCACAATGTAGGAAACGTTTTAGAAATCAACACCGAACTTAGGCTTCTTCAAGTCAGATGTTTGTTTTCAGTACTGTGAAATTAGAACTAGAACTTTAGATTTCTGTCTCAGATTAGCGTTTTACAGCATTACTCTTTTTAATACAAGAGGAAGGACTGAATTCAACTAAGCTACTAAATTAAGTACACTCTAAGAATGAATGCTGTGGAAATGAAAATCCACAAGAGGTGATTTCGAAATACTTGTTCCAACCACTAAATGAAAGTCTGACAAAAACTAGTCAGATAGTACTTACTGCTATCAAGCCAGTTTTCATAATAATCTATTTTATGACTTCCTCTCTCCATCAAGCACTTTTTTGAAGTGATCACCCAATTTTAAGGCTTTTGGTTACTGGTAGGAGGAGGAGGCAGTCTGTCCGCCATTTCTTAACATGTTATTGGCTTAAAAAATTAAATGCAAGAATCAAAATTACATTAACTGTATCTCTGTAATTTCCTATGACAGACAGAAAAGTTACTACTGACACTCATTACTTTTTTATCCTCTGCACTCTTTTCTCTCTAAAACGATCAGGCTGCAAAATCCTAAAGTCTTCACTGAATTGCCATCCTGTTCTGGCTCTTCTCTGTGTGTTTGTGTGTGCCTAAACACGTGTGTCTATATACTCTCTCTAGAGACATGCACAGGGTAAACACTGTAATCACTTCTCTTAAATACAATTGTATTTAAATATATTCAAGCTGAAACCAACTAAGACTTTTTTCCAGTTATTCCCAATAGAGGGGCTCAAACTTCCTTGTTTTGCTCTAATACTAAGGTTGAAAGAAGAGGTTAGGCTGGAAGAGCAGGTGTTTCATACCTATGTGAGCAGATTGGCATTTCTGCATCCACCTACTTTGAAAAAGAGATCACAGAAGGTAAGCACAACTATAAATAAGCTCCATAACTGCCCATGTGGACTATTTATCAGGCCACTTTCAAAAAGAGAACATCCTAATGAATACATCTACCTCATCTGACAACAGAAAAAGAATCACAGGTAAACATTTTTCAGATTATTCAAAAAACTATTTTAAAAAATTCAAGTGGGACTGCAAAAAAGTATTTATTTGTATCTCAACCATTTTTATAAATACTCCTTACACACAACTGATCTACAATTTCAACTACAGAATATTTTTATCTTTTTGTAGAGACAAAACCATGAACACTGTATGGAGCAACTTGAATGCCTCAGCAGAAATAGCATTTTAACATCTTTCACAGTCCAAAATCTATTCATTATTCCCGTCAGATCAGCACACAAACTTGCATACAAAAACCCAACAACATGAGAAATGTGTTTGAAAACTCAGAAATAAGAGATATCTTACAAGTTACTTTAAAGTATTACTAGCATTTAAGCAGGATCACACTTCTCTTTAATTCTGGAGGAAAAAATAAAGTGTATTTCTTTCATGCAATGCATGTGTTAAACTACCTACAGAGGAGCTTTAAGTAAAAGCTTTTTAAAAAAGGTTTAAAGGTTCAATTCTGTGTTTGAATATACATTATAAAAATTATGACTGCAATTTCATTAATGACAATAAATGTGCAAGCTTAATTGTCTAAGCAGGCAAAAGAAGTCAAAACAGCTCTGAAATAACTCAAGTCTAC